ATCATCATCGAAATCATCAACATTCAATAATGATCATCATCTCCATCTTCATCATACAAATCATCAACATCATCATCCAAATCGTCACCAAATTCATCATCATCACCACCATCATCATCATCATCATTATCGTCCATATCATCATCATCAACATCATCATCATCATCATCATCGAAATCATCATCATTCAAATAATGATCATCATCACCATCTTTATCATCCAGATAATCATCATTAGCATCCAAGTCATCATCATCATCATCATCATAATCATTGAAATCATCATCATCCAAGTAATCATTAACATCATTATCATCATCATCATCATTATCATCCAAATCATCCTCATCATCATCATCATCCAAATCATTATCATCTTCGTCATAATCATCATCATCATCACCCAAAAAGCATTATCCTGATCATCACCGTCATCCAAATCATCGTAATCCAAAACATCATCAGCATCGTCATCATCCAAATCAACATCATCATCATTATCATCATCANCATCATCATTATCATCATCATTATCCAAATCATCATCATCAAAATCATCATCATCATCATCCTCACCCAATCGTCATAATCATCATCAACTCCGTCATACTATTCACCATAATCCAGAACATTATCATCATCATCCAAATTATCATCATCCAAATCATCATCCAATTCATCACCATCATCATCATTATCATTATCATCATCATCAACAGCATCATCGTCATCATCATCATGATCATCTTCATCACCATCGTCATCATAATCAGCATCATCATCATCATCATCAACATCACCATTACCATCATAATCATCAACCAACTCATCATCATCATCACCCAACCGTCATAATCATCATCATCATCATTATCATCCAAATCATCATCACCATCATCATCATTATCATCATTCAAATCATCATTAACATGATCATCATCAGCATCATCATCATCGTCATCCGAATCATCATCAACCTAAACATCATCAGCATCATCAACATCCAAATCAACATCATCATCTTCATTATCATCATCATTATCCAAATAATCATCATCATCAAATTCATCACCATCATCATCATCCAAATCATCATAATAATCATCCAAATCAACATCATCCGAATCATCATCATCCAAAACATCATCATCAAAATCATCATCACCATCATCATCACCGTCATCATCACTACCATCATCATCATCCAAATCATCACCATCATCCAAATCATCATGATCATAATCATCATCATCATTTTCATCCAAAGCATCATCATCAACATCATCATCATCGAAATCATCATCATTCAAATAATGATCATCATCACCATCTTCATCATCCAACTCATTAACATCATCATTCAAATCATCATCATCATGATCCAAGTCTTCATCAAATTCATCATCACCATCATCATCATCATCATCATCATCTTCCAAATCATCAATATCATCATCATCATCAAAATCATCATCATCATTCAAATCATCGTCATCATCCAAATCATCATCATAGTCTTCATTTGAATCTTGATGATAATCATCATCATCATCCAAATAAACATCATTATCGTTATCATCATCATTATCCAAATAATGATCATCATCATCAACCAAATCATCATCATCATCCAAATTATCATCATCATCAACATAATCAACCAAATCATTATCCTCATCATCATCACCCAACCGTCATAAACATCATCATCACCGCCAACCAAATCATCATAATCCAAATCATCATCAGCATCAACGTCATTCAAATCATCATAATCCAAATCATCTATAGCATCCTCATCATTATCATCATCATCTGACAAATCATCATCATCATCATTATCATCCAAATCATCATCATCATCACCATCATCATCATCGAAATCATCATCATTCAAATAATGATCATCATCAC